TTGACCTAGCTGCTCTTAACGGGGATGCAGATACAGTGGGTTTCATGCTGTTGGTTAGATAATATGTTGATAATGGAAATATAAATAGATGTCTGTCTTTATTTGGTATTATTTTTTTTTTGCATTTTCCTTTCTTCCTGTGGTTGGGATGCAGTTTATAGACCTGGGTGTAGAAGTGTATACTTGACAATAAGTTGCAAAACATTGTAATTGTTAAAAGATGATTAGCCAAATACAAAATATATAATCATGTCATATGCACAACCACACATTTTAAGCTATTTTAGACAAATGAAACAAATCATAATTGCTAAAATAATTATAATAATAATTTGCAACTGCAACACAGGATGTCAATTTGCAATCACAGTTCATGTGGTGTAAAAAAAACTTCAATGCGAGCATTTTGACTCTCATTAATGTAATCTAATTATCAGCAGGACAGTAATTAAAACAATCTAATTATCAAGAACTTTCTAAATCATCAGGATATAAAGGAGCTGACAGCAACGTTACTAAAGTTAGCTAATGTAGTGACGCATACAGTGTGTAATCAACCAAATGATTGAAATATCCAACAACTTTTGCATTGCTCAAATCTTAAATATAAATATAATATGTTGTTATTATTCTATACGTGGTCAGGCTGCATTGTCTGGTGGAACATGGAGCGTGCTGGAAAAAGCCGACAACAATGGTACAGAGGTTAGACAGGACGAATGGCTGCCAAGAACCCGGCCCTGGTGCCTCGCTGCTTAAGAAAGGATCAAAGATGGGTATAAACACCATGCTTACCATAACAGCCCCCACAGTAAATCCCAACCTCTACAAATTATATAGTCCAACACAAAATGTTCCAAAACAGTTAATATTAACGGACAGTTAAAAAAGCTCCAATAACTGAAGTGCAACCTCTAAAATGAGCGTAAAGTTTAATCCACACCTCTCTGGCTAAACCCACTACTGCATTCATATTTGTATCTGACTTCAACCAATCAATGAAGACACAGCTCACTTGGAAAGATTTGTATTATGTGCTATGCTTTTGCACCTGCACACTCTGAATTTATATTACTTTATAACTGCCTATTTTATTTCCATGCAGTATATTGTTAGTCCCTATTTTGCAGCACCTGCAGTTTACATCCACTTCTCTAACTCCCTCTTAACCTCTATCTCTCTCTCTCCATCAACCGAAAGGCTACAGAACCGCTCCGCATGATCGATCAGGTACATGATTTATGCAAGACACAAAGTAAAAGAGACAAGGCGAGACAGATAATAGAAAGATAAATATTTGTACCCCTCCATCAGGTCATGCTACGTGGGCTATGGCTTCCTCCAAACCAGATATTCTCCTCATCCTGCTGCAGAAGCTGATGGAGGAGGGCAACATACTTTACAAGGTATGTTATAGTGAATGTTAAAGAGTGTTTTGTAAGCGTGTGGCAAAGCTGGCAGCCTTCTATTTGAACAGACTCCAAAACGAGGTGTTTTTGTGGATTATTTGTTCAAAATTGTCTTCCCCTCTGTCCGTTGTTTTCTCTCCCTCTTCCTGTGTGTGTCTCAGAAGGGACGTATGAAGGAGGCAGGCCAGCGTTATCAGTATGCCCTGAGGAAGCTACCTCGTGAGGGGCAAGGAGAGGAGCTGAAAGGGCTCAAAGACCTGCGGGTCTCCCTCTATTTAAACCTTTCCCGCTGCCGCAGGAAAACCAATGTAAGGCCCCCAGCTGTATCAAACTCTTCATGCACTATTTAACACTGGCAGGTTTATTAGATGCTGAGGGGATGGCACGAGGGCTACCAAGGCAAGGTAGATGGTTCCTTAAGATATATAATTTATCTGTATCCACATAAAAAGATACTGTCAGCAGCAGTATAGCTCACTGTAAAAATATCTCTGCTTTTCAGATCTAATTTCATGTCTCCCCAGTAAACAGAATGTACGTGTAAGACCTGAAAGCAGGTGGTGACATAATGAATAACTGTGTGCTGTTAGTGTTGAGATAGATGTGTGTGGCCTGCAGCCAGGTTTGGAACCCACCCTGGTGATGACAGACGTCCTAACAGACTGTGTAAAAATGCCATCCTTGGGGTCACTGTGGCCGATGAATAATGGAGCAGATAATGTGATGTGATAAGGTCACTCTCTCTGGCAGACCGAGCACACTCTCTTTCTCTGTGTCTCTACAGGGGGTTATTTACAGTGGACGTGAGAGTGGGCTGGCTAAATCCACATATTATATCAGAAAGCAGGCAGTAAGGGCCAGCAGTGAGACTACATGATACCATCATTAAACATTCAGCAGCAATGTTCACAATCTCACATTCAAGGCTGCCATTTTGACCTCTCTCTCAAGGACAGAATCACAATGTGTTCGTGTCATTAAATATTCACCTGAGAGTGATGATGAGAGCAGTAAAAACCAGCAGAAAAACCAGCTGCTCCCTGTCTATTTCTTCTCCCACTCTTTCTGTTCCTGGTCAATAAATGCAGCGCGAGTTCTGTTTCATTAAACAGGCTTCGATCTTCAGATTCATATAATGAAGATGCGAACACAAACACTAATTTTATTGGAATTGGCTCAGACTATTTCTGCAAAGCAAATATTTTTCACTCTAGTCACTTAACCACACAGCTAATGGAGCTTAGTGGGTCTGTTTGTTACTGTGCTGCGTCTAATATTTTAAATTGAAATTCAAACTGCACTCTGCACTTTTCTTTCTGGAAACACAGGATTTTGGAATAGCTGAGGAGTTTGCAACAAAAGCCTTGGAACTCAAACCCAGGTCTTATGAAGCGTATTATGCCAGAGCACGTGCCAAGAGGAGTAGCAGGTACAACCATATTAAATCAAGTATATTATTTCAAAGCAGAATCATTTTGCTCAATGGAAAGTTATTTTTGCAAGAATCAGCAATTCACTGGGATGCTACATCTCTGTGGTGCTGTAAATTAAGTATTTTTAAAGTTATTTTGTCCAATTTCTCTGTCCTCCCCAGGCAGTTTGCTGCAGCGCTGGCAGACCTCCACGAAGCAGCACGACTCTCCCCGTCCAACCGGGAGATCCGGCGCCTGCTGGTACGGGTAGAGGAGGAATGCAAACATCATCAGAAGATATCCAGCAACAACACGACACAAGGTTACAACAGGGACCCACACACCCACCACCATCAAGCCACAGAGGAGGAGACAGACGTCTATTCACAGGGAAGTCTGGAGAGGCAAGTCCCCGCAGAGCAAACTGATGCAGAGAAGGAGGAAGAGAAGGAGGATGGTGAGGAGGTGAGCCTGCAGTGTGGGAAAAGTCCAGAATTTTGGCCACTGAATCCGTACGCTCCAAACAGGACTCTCCCTGGAGGTGTGGCCTTTGGTTTGGCAGATCAGTCGCCATGTTACCCTCAAGAGGAATATGTGCAGAACCAACTGTTTGTGGAAATGCCTGAGCCTGTTCCTGCTATCAACAGGCAGACCCAGAACCAGAGCAGCAGGACTCATCACCACTGCCACTCCCTCCAGTCAGGGAGCAGAGTTGGGGGCAGGCCTCTTTCTCTGTGCGGTCCATCCAGTCCTCTGCCAGGCAGACACATCTCCACCTCCCTGAGGCCCACACCGGTGATGGGTATTGACATCGGCCCTGGATCAGCCAATGAACACTCTGGACACAGCCCCACTGAGCACTATCACCCCATGTCCCCCAACAGCTCCTCTCCACCTGGGCCTCTCCAGATGTACCAGCCCCGCTCCTCCAGCTTCTCCAGGGGCTCTGACAGACTCTCCACCCACTCTGTGGCTCTGGATGGCCTGGCTCTTGCTTTGGGGTCTGGTATAGAGGTTAGGAGGGAGGGCGGTGGAGGAGGAACAGCAGGCTCAAGGGGCTCCAGCTCCAGCCAGGCCTCCAGTGGGAACCTATCAGACGGTGGCAGACAGCAGGTACAAGACGCTCCATGCCCCATTAAGAGCAGTGGTAGCTTCAAGACAAAACCTGAGCTAAAGCCTCGGCCCTTTATGGGGGTAATGGACAAATCAGTGCGAGTCCAGGGCCAGCAGACCTCTGGCCTGAGCCGACAGGGGCAGGGGGGAGGAGGGGTAGAGAGCTTCAGCATGTCAGTGATGGAGTTTCAAGGGTTCAACAACGACTTCAAACGTGCTTCATTCCAGGAGCAGCTCTCTGGAAGTCAGGCCAACAGCCAGCAGCAAGGCCGGGACTTTGGAGAGCGGCTCCACCAGAGAGAGGCCAGAGGCACCACGTCCTCCCAGCTTCGCTTCCCTGATGGAAGGCACAGACAGGCGAGCCTAACAAGAGACAACCCGGCTCTGCATATGGCTCCCATCAAACCCAAACGCTCATTTATAGAGTCCAATGTCTGAATATAGTTTATCAAAGCACAGATACAGGCTGTTTTCAACAAACTAAGTCCCACATAAGGTAGCAAGGGAGACTGGTTTGAGAACAGCTCCCTTCCCTGAGCCTGTTTTGTAGAGTTATGCTGCTGCACTGCATTTACAATCTAGAACCAGTGTTCAACTCAGGCTACTATGCTTTTGCTTACTTACATGTCTACAGCTACACTAGTGTATTCAAGAAAACCAGACATACCTTAAGTAGGGATTTAAAAAATAAGTAGTATATTGTCTAAACTTTTAATTTATTATATCAAATATATAAGTCAGAGAAAGCTTTGTGCACGAATATAAAAACCTCATGTTATTAGTTGCAGGATATGACCATTTCTATTGTCAAGTGTCTTTTAAAAAACATTTATATTTGTACGGTGTACACTATATTTGCAGATTATATATTTCCCTGTAAGTGGTTATCTGTCAGCATTACAGGCTTAAAAAGAAATTACTTTGTGAACTTGAGATTCTTTTTCTTGGTACATTTGATAAAAAAAGGCACTGTACATGACATTGTTGGAAACTTATTGTCATAATCTACTACTGAATTGATTGCTTCAATATTCACAGTATATGTTTATTTATTTTTGCATAGCAGAGAACATATTCATATGGAGTGTTTATTGATTTATTTGGACACAGAGAGAGCAATTACACGAGCAACAGTTGCAGTATAACAACTCTTAAGAGACGTCTTACATTGCTGTATGTCCATAGTTATCATATACCCTTTTCAGAGTCATACTATGGATTACAGAATGTTACCACATCATTAGTGTGGTATAATAAAATATTAATGGAGGACTTACATTTCTACATCTATTTCTTTCACAGTAAAATCCATAAAATGTTGCGTAAGCTTCAGAGTGTGTATGGATGGATGAAAGGTTTTGTCCTTTCACAGTAAAACCTAACTTGTAAGTAAGCCATCAAAATAAATTACTTGTTTATAAAATGCTGACACTGCAATTTCTGAATATGGAAATGTCTTCATTGATATCATCAAAAGCTGGATGTTAGCTTGTACAGGGAAGTAAACCCTCAACTACTTTGGCCAAGCACTATTCCCATAGGGTTTGTCATAAGCCAGGTCCTGCAATGTTCAGACAACCTAAAAAACAAAAAAAACTTATATGTATGTATTATATGTAATGCTTCCCCGCATGTAGTGGAAATAGTTGTTTTCAGAAAGATAACAATCATTACTAATTTTCAATTAAAGCTCCAATAAACTATATTTCTAGGGGTTGTTTTATTGCGGCTCCAACCATAAATCAACACCCCAGGTTGTAGCTCTATGTAGCTTTAACTTACAGCTCATTGTTTTTGGTTATTCAGATCTATATATTATGCCACTGGGTTGGATTTCCTTGAAACCAATAAAACGAGGCAGTGGAAACCACTTTTGTAGGGTCACCAAAATAAAATAAAAATGAAAGTGAAAAAGTTTTAAGATTTAAAAATCAAGCAAAGCAAAATATCTACCTGTGTACAGCTAGCTAGATCACCAGAAATGGTGAACCTGTTGAAGATTATAAAAACTAAATGTTATTCATTTGCACTTTATATATTTTTTTCATTTGGGAGCCTGCAGTCTTGCTGACATAGTGTATAATTATTTATAGGCATGCTTTTTCTGTACAGCACTTAAGACCTCAAAAATGACCTGAAGATAAAGTAAATGAGGCTGGTGAAAAAAGTCCAGCATTTAGCAAAGCAAGAAAGTAGTAAGGTACTTTTGAGGAATTGGCAGACCAAGTTAAATGAAAGGCAAGTCAGTATTAAACCTGCAGAAACTATTTTTTTTGCCACTTGGGGGCAGCAGAGACATGACATGAAAACATTGACATATCACCTTTTAGATTAATATGGCAAACTTGTTAGCAAACAGTTCCTTATATCCAGTATTACAGTTATTACAGAGCAACATGAACATTAATTTGGAGTCATGTTTCTGACCACCTGGTAAATGTTAGTCCAATATTAACTCTCTGTTTTTGGTCTCTACCAACTCTGTCTCTTTAGCTCTAGCTCCACTATGTTCACCAGTTAGCCACTAACATTATCTGTCTGCTGTCTGGTGCTGAGCAGGTAGTGTACAGTGGATTTTGAAAGAAAAGAGCTTTTCCACTAAAACTATGAGAGCAGTGAAATTGAACCAGAATACTAAAGTTGCAGGCTGGAGAGCTAAAAAAGACCTGAAGCTTGCTATAAAGCTTTGTTAATATAAAAAAATATATATATATATTATAGACGCCTTAAACTTGCATTCTTCTGGTGGGCAAAAAAAAAAAGAGCACTCCCCTAGGATTTCCATATTGCTCTGTAACTACTTGATGTGTAAGCAGGCAACATTTTAGCCATAAAAAAAAAAAATCATAGGCCGAAAGTACACTTAGAGTTTGCCATTTTCCTCCCCAGTGTTCAAAAATTGCAGCTTTACAAATGAATGCAAAAAAGAAACAGTGTGCCACAAATGAAACAAATTCACACACTTGTATCCGTCATGCTGTGGCATCCCTGGGAGCACTGTATTCTGGTTTCTGTCTACTTTAGGGAAAATATTTGGAGCACTGTGGGTCAAAGGTGTTGCAGATGCTAGTGGCTAGTCTTCCAGCGGCCAATAGCCATCTTCAGGGTGTGGTTAGGGGTGAGCAGAGTGGTCAGTAAGGGGAGGTTGGTCATGGGGCTGGAGCGGTTCTTAGTGTTGATCCAGCTCTCGATGGCGTCTCTTTCATATGAGTATCCATCTGTTGGGAAATATTTACAGTCTACTCAAAGTACTCAAACAGACAAATTTAGAGTATGTGTCTCATGAGCTGACTCTAATTTAATGGTTTAAATGTCATTATATGTAAACTTTGTTAAGTGGTATAGGTCTGATCTTTGCTTACCAGCAGCAATGACTGGTTCCCTCATCAGCTCTCTGGTGATTGACCCAAAGAACCATCAGAATTGCCGAACACAGTGAATCAGCTCTCATCCTCCACCTTTCTCCAGGATTAAATGCGGCAGGCCAACTGACTCCCTACAGAGAACACACCACCACACACACACACACACCCACCACCACGCACACACGCAAGACAATAAGGAAATGAGACAGATTCGAGACTTTGTGGGCTTTCATTAAAATAGAAACCACTGGAGCATCAAGTGGAACAAGCTGAACTGACCCAAACACTAACACATACAATAATATCAATATCAAGGTTTTGAGGATTTGTTATTCCTGCGTTTAGCACTTTTCCCTGTTGGATGGCAAATGTGAGCGTGGGTGAGAGTGAACATGTTGGGAGCAGATCAAGTCTGAACTGGACAGACAGTCAGCAAAGTTAAATACTTAGAAGGCACTCGAGGGCATTTTAATTTGAATACGGTTGTTTCAGTAACATTGTTTAGCAGAGCCTGATAAATTACAAGTATTTATTAAAGATTTACATTGAATGATCTCATAAAATAAAAAGCTAAGTACAGCTGAATACAAAACACTTTGTTGACTCCCTGATCATCTTGCTGGTACACTGTGTTTCATTTTGTTGCTGCCTCTTTAGAAGGAGAGCACACTTTATTGATTTCACTCCCACCTTTGAAAAATATGCCTTTTTCTCTCTTTTATTGCAGTAGATAAAACATGTTGCGACTCAGTACCGTTCTCTAAGTTAGTTCAGCTAAAAACATGGGATTTATGCTACGTTACTAAAAACAGAACAATGTGAACACAAGCTGTCACAGCACTGAAGCTGTGTAAACTGAGGAGTGATTGACAGCGACTGTGGGATGGAAATGACGGCATGGCAATACAACAAACATTTGCTGACAACTACATGACCAATACTGGCCTAGCTGGTAGACTGACATCAACAACATAACACTCTTACTTTAGTGGTTGCAAATCTTGCGGAAAAAAGCCAAAAATATACAGGGTAAAGTCCGATTAACCAAAATTTCAACAACAACAAAAAAATAAACATTTCAGACAGACTTGGAACCAAGAAGACCTAATGATATTAGGTGCAAATCCACTTTAGACCATATGGGAAATACTGTTTTGGGGATTGTATTATGTAACTGATGAAGTGCTCCAGATTAAAGTCAGAACTGCTGAGGCCCCAAAGCCGAGTACTTTCGCAGTGCAGCCTAATATTATGTAATCTTGCTGAGTAAAACCTCCACCAACATTCATTCATTCCTTCACCCTTACTTTGATTTAATGTGTTGCCTTTTATCCATGTAAATAGGTACAAAAACCGTAATCCACACACGTCTATGTCCATTCTCACAAGACACCAGGCGTGTAATACCCATAAGACTGGCTTTACATTCTCATCTTTCAGACAAAAGCATTAGGACTGTGAGAAAATGAGGGACTGAAGAAGTGGCATTGCACTCGCGGAGCAGCGTGTGATGTTTGTCTTCCTCACCTATGTGCAGCTCTGACGCCAGCGTTTCCTTGGTGAGATTGAGCAGCTCTGTCCCATCTATGTTGTTGGCTGTGAATGTGCCCACCAATCCCTCGAGGCCTTCCTCCGCCAGCCACACTGACACATCCTCCTCCGACCAATCGCTGACCAGCAGCTTCGATCTGCGCGCTGAGGTTCTCCCTGAGAGGGTGAATCAAAGCAAGACGGTCAAGCCCTTGACAGCTGCAGCACCTTTTGAAAAATGGCCAAATATTCTCCATTCAAGACTATCCTGGAATCCTGCAGACTAATTATTGATTAGGGGGCTGTGGCTAGCACAGCTTGTATAATAATATAAATATATCTCTCGAGGTCTCATTGACGTCTTTATTGACACAGGGTGAAACTAAAAGGTGAAAAGGAGCTTGTACATTGCAGACAGAAATGCTACACCAAACCTAGACTGCTGCACTTGCTGCTAAATATATAACCATTCCTAATTATATCAAATAAATTATAAATAGTTTTAGTGTTTGTATGGTATGTTTTTCATTAGCAAGTAAGTAGTATTTGTTCCTTCCTACCATCACTTGACGTCAGTGCAGAATTCTCTGAAACACAAAAAAAGGAAGAAGTCACTGTAAACATGAGCAATGCAATGTAATCTTTGAGCAAACTTGCAACACTTGAGACTGAAGAGTGATTAAGGAATGGAGCCCTCTTGTACACAACACCTGTGTCCTTCACCACAAGATGACACTAGTTTATCACGACATCTCAACACACAGAGGAAATGAAAGCTACTACTAGTGGAGGTGCAACTTTTCTGATAGGACTTCTAAAAAAAGCCATATTTAACAAAGAATAGATGCAGCATCTTAAAGATTTACAGAGCTGGCAAACAGAATACCACCTGGACATGAAGACAGGGGCAATAAAGCCTGGTGTGACTGCAGAATCCTGTTTGCTGTTGTTTAGTGTAAATTTTGCATTTTAAAAAGGAACTCTCTCTTCCTTTCAAGTGTCAAAAAAAACAATATTTAAGATAAAAAGAAAACTAACCAGGCATCGACTTCCCGCCTTTCCGTTGGACACAAGGTGGAGTAAAGGAGACAGACAGAAAAATAGATTAGAAGACAAAACAAATGTAATAAATAATCAAAATATAAATGTCACTCTATTGGAGCAGTGTGTCTGTGTGTGTGTGTGTGTGTGTGTGTGTGTGTTTTTCCAACCATGGCCACTGCATCCATCCTCCAGCCTCCAGATGTTTACAGTTTTATCCATGGATCCTGTAGCAATCAGTGGTGAAGTCGGAGAGAAGGCGCATGCTGTCACGTACCTGCAGCAGAGGACAGTAATCACCTGGATGCTGGTTCTGTTAACAATGAGGTGTAACTTTAGCCCTAATATATCAATTAAAAAGGCAAAGCAAGAGGAGAGAAGTGAAACTGGGGGGGGGGGGGAGAACAATGTTCTTTAAAGCAATATTAAAAGATAATAAGGATTCTGTGAACATAAGATCCTCAAGCAGGTCCATTCAATGCATCCAGAAACCAGCCAAGTTCCCCAAATCTTAGTCCTGGTAAGGTAAGGGCCCTGCCTGAAGCTGCAGTTCAACTCTTACAGGGTTAAAAGGTGGGAACTACGTCTCAATAGCAGACCTAAATATGTAGCAATGGTGGAAATGTTCTCCATCCGAAGGCCAATTCAGTGATGGCTTACCACGTCAAAGGCTGCACTAAGATCTAAATACGGATTAAAACCACATTTTCAGTAGATTCAAGAGTCAAGGCAACGTTAACAACGACAATCTCTCTAAAACCTAAGCTGGACTGCTCAGAAATGTTGATCCACAAAAGCTAGTTGGCTTAAAACAACAGCTCTAAAAGCCTCCAATAAGAGTTTAGTGAAAGGCATGAACTAACTCGACCTCAAGAGGCACAGTTATCAGCTTGTCTAAAGTCAAACGAGTTTCCTGGAGGTATTTTGTCAAGTGTTGTCATTCACTTTTTCGCCATTTATTCACTTTCTTTCAACTTGCCGCATCTACTTCCACTTCACTTACTGATTTTCTAAGATGACTTTAATTTTCCCAACTGAAAGGAAATGAGCGTTCTGCCTTTCAATCACAGGTGGCTTGATGGACTTAAATAGCTTGTAAGTGTGATCATTCAGCTATCGTGTAAACTGTATGTGCGTATGTGTGTAGGGGGAGGGACACAGTAATAACAGCCCTACCTTTTTATAAAATGCATATTTTGTGACCACACTGGGTCATAATCTGTTAAAGGTACTTTCTGTGGTGGGTCTGTCTTCCCTACAAGTCATATGACAACTAATGATCATGTTTTTATATAACAGAACAATTTGTGGTATTAAAACACTAATAAAACCAGTCTGGAAATATATCAGTGTGACGTCTTATTATAGTGGTCCAGATATTTGTGGAATTAAAAAAAAAAAAAAAAAACTGAACAAAATAGGTTAACAAATGTGTTTTCTCAGTGTTAGCACTGCAAGGCATCTTGCAGTGGATTTTACCCCAAAATATGTTTATTAAAGACAGACTGAACTTGTTTATGTTTGTAAACAGAGTTAACACCAGTTGCCAGAAAACTGTGTGAAAGACCTCTTTTAGGAATTCTACACAAATATCAAATGTGTAAAAGTTGGAGTGTAAACAGGGGAGAGCAATATGGATGACATTAATATTGCCAGAACTATCACAGCATTATCGCAATATTAATATGTTATGATATTTAAAAGGTTTTGATATTTTCATAGAGACAATTTAAACTGTTGCTTTCCCTATTGATTTCAAAATCTGTTTAGTTTTTTGCCTGACACATTTTTGTTCATTTAAACATTAAACCACAACATCTCAAAATTTGAATTTTGTCAAGATACAAATATGTGAAAAGACAATAAATTAAATATCAAATAATACATACACAATACAATACAGAAGATATTCTGTCTGGCAAGATAAGAGATCAAATTTACCTTTTTACAAATTCATGCTTACATTTAGAAAGAAGTCCAGAAAGTCCAAGAAAATCCAGTAAACAAACCTTATGTACATAACATATATGACTATTTACCTCTCGTGCTGGTTCAGTGTGTAAAGCAAAACTCCATTCTTCTGCAAACAGACAAAATATTAACTTTATGAGTGGAGCAATATGTAACAAGTCTATGGTTAAACATTTCACTACTACATAAATCAATAAAAAAAAAAGAGAGGTACTTACAGCATCATACACTGTAACAGTTTTGTCCACAGAGCTGAAGGAAATAAAAAGATAAAACTATGTATATAAGTAATATTAAAGTAACAGACTATTTGTACAACAAGTTCAGATCCACATTCACTTGTTGAGAAATACAGTAATCCATGTCTCCCTCTAGTGGTTCTACTTAAGTCCTGCACTCTTATAGCTGTGCACTTGTATCATAATAGTGGCCTACTTATATGTCCAAACTATCTATATTTTACATCGATTTCTTGATCCTAAATAGATCAAAACATGGATACAGATCTATTTAAAATCAAGAGATTAGTGTAAAATATAGATGTAGCATATGGCTAGCAACTCCAGCAATTTCTTGGGAATTTTCTTAAGGGAATCTGAATGATTAGAAATCTTTTAAATATGCCTATTAAAATGGAACATACGGTTGCTTCTGCATGTTTTATCGCATTAAATACAATTTGTATGTAATGGTTTACTTGAAAATGTATTTGAAACTTTTGTTAAATTATTATTTCTATCACAGTGAACATATTGTCTGTTTCTTTTTGTCAGAGCTGTGTTATTATTGTGTGATAAATAAGACAACTGTGAGATAAGACTGTTTTTAAAATGATAACAGTTATGGGTTACTTATTTCAAGCATGTTTTAGTCTCTATAAATTGATTGTCATACTACACTGGTACAGACAGATAATATTGGCTGCCTAGTAAGAAACCAATCTAAAAACTTAACATCAATTCTGGAAAATGGAGTATATACAATCCATATTAAGAGGCTAAAACATTCAAAGTAATTAATATGTTTCCTAAACCTTCTTAAAAGATCCTACCCAGACACCAGCAACTGTCCATCTGAGGAGTACGCACAGGAGAGGACCGGAGCCGACTGGCTAGTTAACGTGTGAAGGAGCTGCATCTTATAAGCTTTAAGAGAGAAAAAAAAACCACTGTAGTTACGGACACACACACACAAGAGAATTAAACTATGTCTCTGACCAATGTCAAATTAACAAAAAAAAATCCACAAAAAACAATGAGACAAAAAGAAAAGAAAGTAAATGTAATATGCTAAATCTGAGTATAAATACAAGAACATAATAGCATGAAAAGCAGACTTGGACTGGCAGCTACTCTGGATTTGTTTAAAATAAAATATACTTGTATCTGGCAGGAGTAATTTGTCTTGATATATTGGTGCTGATATATTACAAACTAGCTACACAAATGAAGGATTGTACCTCTGAGGGCTGTAATCAGACTGAAGTTAATTGATACAGAAACTGCACACATCAATATTCAGCATCAGACATGTCTCTAGACAACTACTGTACGAGTTTCTCCACTGTTCAGACTATAACAACACCTTATGTACATTATAATAGTCAAATGTCTTGTAAGGCAGCACTTTAACTGTTGTTAACTATATACGAAGTCTGAAACACAGCGACAGTGCACATGAATAATCTAAGTTTACAATCTTGGCTGATATCTATAAAAGGTTATAATAACGGCATTCATTAGAGACAGAGATCTTCCAGTATGTAAAGATATGTTACTTTACCTCCAGAGCTGAACTTGTTAATTGCCCAGATCTTCAGCTGACTGTCCTGCCCACATGATGCCAAACGAAACTGCACCATTTTATCCCCTAAAAGTGAAAAATATTGCACATTGATACTGAACATCAATCTTTCACAAACAACAATCTCACAAAATATCAGGCAACCAGTCAGATGTTATTGTCCCCATGGTGAGATTAAACAGAAGGCCAAACAGCTCAGCTGTGCTTCACCAACCTAATGTGACAAGCCTTACATAATGGTGGACGTCAACATACAGTAATGTTCCCGCCTAATCTACCATTGATGTAGTGATATGATCAGGTATGTTGACAGATATGTACCCTTATGTATCTTAATTATAGTTTAATATTTGCATATGTATACATATTCATTATATTTCCAGTAAATCTGTGTCTAAAATCTTAAACATTATTAATGTATGTCACAGTTACTGCCACAGATGTTTAAAAGACATACAGCAATGGTTCTCACCACTGAGGATGCTGGGAGCGAAGGCACAGCAGGTGACCCCCAGGTCGTGAGCATTTTTCTCTGCGTGGAGTTGATTCATGTCCAGGTCCCACAGACGCAGGTCTCCATAGGTAGAGCCAGTCATAAACACCTGACTGCAGGGGCTGAAGGAGCAGGCTACCATTGTTGTGTCATTCACTGCTCCGGTCCTTCACAAACACAACCAACAGCATCAACAGGCAAATATTTTTCAGCTTAATTCAACTTTATGGCCCTTGTTCGAGTGTAATAACACACGGAACTTGTTGCTGCCTGGATAGCGTGTTATAAAACGTAAGCCTAAACTTTACCTGCGCAGCTGTCTGGAGGGGAAATCCCACAGAGCCAACGTGCCATCAGATGCACCAGAAACCAGGTAGGCAGAGTCAGGAGAGAGCGCACAGATCCTCACAGGACTGCGACCAGGATGCTCCAGGACGGCCTCGATCTCACCCGTGTCCATGGACCAGACCAACGTGGTTGCATCGGTTGAACATGAGGCGAGGAACTGTCCGCAGGAGCTGAAGCAGCAGCAGTGGACGCTGTAGCCATGGCCCGACAGCGGTGAGAAGGGCAGCTCCGAGAAGTCGCGGGTATTGTATATCCTGAGAGTTTTGTCCCCAGAACATGTGGCTAACAGTTTGCCAGAGAAGGCACACCAGTTGACATCGTCTCGATGGTCTTGTAAAGTGCAAATCAGAGATGTCATTTGGACAGCTGGTCCTAAAGTTCACAAAGAGGGAATGAGAAAAGATTAAACCGTATCATATGCAAATTGGTTCATTTAAATCTAAATATCTAGGTGCCAGGTTCACAGAGACATATATAGCAATATATTCCATCATTCTTTTTTCCCCACACAGCACAGCAGGGAAGTAGCAAGTCCTGAATTTGAAGAAGAACACAAGAATATAAAAATGATTGAATTCATTTTGTATTTCTTCCTAATTAGCTCACATTGTTCCCTCTACCGGAGCTGTTTTTAATCTCCCGGGGTAAGTCACAAGTTAAAGGCACGTCCAGTTCCAGTCATAAACAAGTCAAGATGCAAGTCTTTAATAGTGGCATTAACCGTACACAGCATTAGAGCTGCAATTATTAGCCGGTTAGTCGATTTGTTTATTAACAGAATATTTAATCAGCAACTACTCATTTATCAACCAAAAATGATAAATATTTGCATGTTCTGGCTTCTCAAATGTGATAATTTGCTGCTTTTCTGTTTTATGTGATTAAAAAAATGCTTATCTTTGGTTGTCACATAGTTTATATTTTACTCAGTGTGCCCCTCAGTCCCTGTCTTTAACCACATTCTCTCTTTCTCCCAGGCCCATGCAATTTTAGGAACTCTCCAGACATTATCAGTCCATCCACCAGATGCCCCCGGACTCCCCCCAACAGTATTTCTACTTTCTAGTTTCATTTAGTGTAGAAGAGCCTTTCCAGTGAGCAAACATGCCCAACAGCAGCAGTCTGACTCTGTTTGACCTGAAGGGAACATAACCTTAATTAGTAATCATTGGTTACACCTGTGTTTACCCTAATGTCTAAATGTGTCCAGTGAAAAAAGTCTATTTCTGTGTACCTGTGAATTCTCTACCAAGACGTTGCCTTGGGCTTTCGGGAATGGTACACAGGCATTTCTTTTTCTATTTTCTGACTATTTGTGGACTAACTGATGAATCAAATTGAAAAAAAAAAAGTTTAAAATAATTGTTAGTTGCAGCCATAAACAGCATTTAAACATTTTTCCTTTCTCAAAGCTGTGAAAATAGTTACTGAGACCACACACATAATAACTGAACATGTAGAGAGATAACTGTACATAGTAGAGGTCTTTTCTGTATGTATATATTTATTTTTATATTTGTATATTTTATTTTTTTCAGGGATTTTACCCAATTAAAAGTTGAAAAAACTTAAATGTTTTTTACTTTTATTCCTCAAGTCAATTCTTCATGGAGTAAAATAAAGTCTACAGCTCTGCCCTCATTATTAGTGACCGTTGGTTTAATAATACAACAGTAATATTAGCAGTCCTCTTAAAGTTTACAAATGGTAAATAGCAGACTAGGAAGGAAAATGCATAGGTTTTCCCTAATTAACCTGGGGGAAAAAACACAAAAACAAAAGAGCAACCACAAGCAGCCACAGGGATACTGCTGTGTTTGTAGATACTGTAGCTAACGGTGCAGCAGAGCCGAGAAACAACTGTCTTTACTTGACGTTACAACGTCAAATGTTGTGAACCAGCGTGAGAAAACTGTGGCAAAACCTCCCAACAGGCAAACTGGGAAGGTGAATAAAATGAAATCGGTCTGGTGTGTTAACGACAGCAGTGTATTTTACCTTTCTCCGTCCTGTTGTCCCTTCAGTTGACTCTTGTTTACTTCCTCATCGACCAGCTGACTGTGACGTACGCGGGTTACGTCACCCTTTATGTAATTAGTGTCTGACGAGTCAGGACTTTTTAATTGGACCTCACATTTAACGGACTTTAGTGGGCGAGCAGTATATGTGGTGTAATGTTTTGTAATTGCACTTATTATATTATATATTATATATATATTGCGCCGTAACTACTGTATTTCAGCTGCTTAAATGATGCATTGTATTATGTATTCAAATTCAACATAGTGTGATCTATGTCAGGATCTATGTGATAGTCTTCCTGTGAATGCACCATGTGACCACTTGACATGGGCATGGAGGAAAGTACTTTTCCTGGGTACAATTCTGAGTTATTTTCAGTTTTAGTATTTCAATTGTATGCCATTTACTTCTACTCCACTTCGCCTCAGAGGGAAATATTGCACTTTTTACTCCGCTACAATTATTTTGCAGCCTTAGTTACTGGTGCAGACATATGATCCAATTATAAAAGTGTATGCACTGTCATACTAACTCAATTAAAATTTGCCCCAGCTCAGCCAACTCCAACATTAAAATGCTGCCTGTATGTTAATTCATCAAATATAACACTAACAGGGCCACTCTGGATAAAAAGTGCATTTTCTTTTCGAATACTTCTTTACCTTCACTGGAGTAAAATGGCATATGCAGGGCTTGTATTTGTAATGGAAGATTTCCCCATGTGGTATTGCTACTTTTACTTAGGTAAATGATCTAAATACTGACTTTATGCATCGTAGCTGTTGTGAAAACCTTTTGGTTCTTTGTGGTTAAGAGTTTAAAACCTTTTTTAACATCCATAAACAAACTTTTTGTAAGCTGCCACTACTTCCAAAATTACATGAAAACTAAATTCTCAACTTATTTTAAATTAATCTAAGCAAACATTTTTAGTTTCTAAAAGGTAAAATACAGTTTCTGAGACAAGCATCCTTGTCAAATTAATGTTTTTATGTATCTTCCCGACTTTATTAGGATCTTGAAACAGCTTTTACATTTTTATTTTAGCACCAGTCTTTGTTATTGTATGGTAAGGTATGTGATAAACTATAATACAAACGTTTGACTGTTAAACTTGAAAAACATGCCCTTTTGCAATAGTCTAAACCTTGAAAATAAATGATATTGATCCAGAGAGCTACTACAACCCCTTTCAACAAAAACAGTTCTGTATAATGGATTTGAAATAAAACAAGTTTGAGTCATTTACGTTGAAAAACATCCTTTTAATAGGTCCGTGCCACACACTAGTGAAAAATAAAGCTCCTACAAAAGAATGATACTTTTATTCCACAATATCTTAAATAAAGTAACTTCAAGTACTCTTGACTTGGGTACAAAAAAATCTAGCTGCCTCCATCAGGCCACAACACACAGCAAGGTTCAACACAGTGGTTACAAATGGCCTTAGGTCCTCTGTATTGTGGCAGATTACGAGGAAATGCATCATGGAAGCATAACTGAATGCTTGTTGTTCCTTTTTTTTCTTTTATGGTGAGGAATGATTTCTGTGTCACTGTCCAACTTTGGAGGCCTTGTTGGATTGAAATTATATAAAAAAATAATGTTGTCATAAGAATGAAAACTAAAAACAAAAACATCCCCTACATGCCCCTGTTGGAAGGGTAGGCACTACCAAGATTAAGGATACCACAGTGTTTGCAGAGGATATGTATATACTGTACAAACAATATTTATGATAATGTTTTCATCACGTTCACTAAAATAGAATGCTACAATCATTCTAAGGCATAAACAATATCTTAATATTCTTAAACAATTTTTACACATCGTTCCAAACAAGACATAATATTGACATTAATAAACAGTATATACACATGAATCACCATTGTCTAACTGTTCCTCTGCTGTTCCTGTAAATAAATGCAGTTTTACAGTTTGAACAAATGAATACAGTCCTCTGATGCCCCAAAGCACTGAACAGTGTAAACAGTTTTTTTTCTTGGCTTTGTTTGATATTTGGGAGAAAAATTATAACACAAAGACACATTCCTTTTTTAATTCAAAGCAGTTCAGCTGATTCTTCCTTTTCATAGAAAATGAAGTGGACCTTGATTCATAAATAATTATTACAAAATTAAATACATTCACTATAATACGATTAAATAACAAAAGACTATTTACAAGTAGTGGAAAGTATTCTAGCGCAGACACATCAGTGACAGTTGAGGATTAATTCAGTGCAGTGTTCTGAGACAGGGAATGGTATTGCACTACGACACCCCATTTCTCTGGGACTCTTTGGGGCTTTTATCCCTGTTGTAATAAAATCCAGCGCACCTCCTGTAACGACTTGTTTTAATTTTTTTTTTCAAGGTGACATCGCTCTTAAGCACACCATGGGTTCCTTATTAAGGATCTGACTTCTTCTTCCATCCTGCAAAACCACATTCTCCATCACAAAATAAAGATAAAAGTAAAACCTGGTGCTCCGATATGAAAAGTTGTATGGGTTTATGGGGAGAATCTGAACAGACGTTTAGTTTGTTTGTTTCAGAAGCTCCGTCCAGCGCTTCTCAAAGAACTTCCTCATGTTATGACCAGCTCGACCAATGTCTGAATTGTCTTCATTGAATTTTTCACAGTTATCAAAGACCAAGTTGACATCAATGATGAAAGTCTCCAAGTTTTGATACCTGAAATAAAAACAATAAAAACTTAGTGAGAAAGTCCAGTTCATACAGCACATACTGTGGTGTAACTAAAACTTATTTTCTGAGAAACGCTACTCTGGCTTTAAATTCTGCGCAAACCCCCTGAAGGTTTTCAGTAGAAAAAGAACAAACACAAGTGATGGCAACTTACTGGCTGCTCACAAGCTTCTCACGTATGGTAGAGAAGTCCATCGGTTTCTTGATGACCTTCCTGTAGCCAGGGACCGATTTCAAGTTGACAGGTGTGAGAAAAGGCCATGCATCCTGATGCCGCTCCAATTCAGCAAGGAGAACCCTATTGGAGACACAAACACACACACATGGTTGGACACAGAACAATAATTTAATTTATTAGGGAAGTTGTCTTTCACTTGGGTTTCTTCTTCCTTTATAGCCCCAATAACCAATATTTCTATATTAACAATGGATCAAATGTATGTTGCTCATAGTAACGAACTGAGAGAATTAACAACTGACTGCAGTTCTCCTCAGCTCTACAGAGCATTAGTTGCTTCTTTCAGCTTATTGTTTTGGTTTTACAGCCCACAGCTTTACTGTTTTGACTCACATTTTTGGGCTGCAGCTGGCATCCACTGCTCAGCACCAAACAGCAGGCAGACAAAGTTAGTGACAGGCTGGTGAGAATAGTGGAGCATTTAGCAGCTAAAAAGCCAGATATTTCTCTCAGGAGTTGGTTTGAGTCCAAAAAATAGAGCTAAAAGAATGTGAATAATAATATTTATATTCATCAGGTGGACACAAACATGGCTCCAAACGAAAGATAATGTTGCTTCATGACTAATGGATGTGTAAAAAGCCAACTATTTGCTAACAAGTTTGCCATATCAACTTAAAAGGTGATAATAATGTCAGTTTTGTGCTTACAGGGATAAACCACAAAAGAATCTTATGAAGTGAAAAGGCCTTGATACTGCCAGTAGATGGCATCTATTGTACAACTGTAAAGACGTGTGATAAATAAATGGAGAATTCAACAGCAAGACAAGTATGAGCAAGCCAGAGGAACATACCTGCATAATCCCAGGTCCCTGTTGTTGTCTCTGGCTGTCTTAGCTCGTTTCACACACACAGGGCTCTCCTGATTGGCTGCTGGCAGAGCAGGTGAGCTCTCCTCTGTTTTTCTCTTCCTGCTGGTGTCTTTTGCGCCTTTCTTGGGTGTGCTGCTGGCGCTGGCCGGATCGTCCTCCGACACTTCCCCATTACCTGCCTGCTTCCCGTTCTTCTTCGCCTCTCCACCTTTCTTACCACCTCCTCCGCTGGATGCTACTTGTTTGCTTGGAGGTTTTTTGCTTTTGGGAGATGGACCACTTGCCTGCACGAAGTAAACAATAGTTAAAACTAATAGAAGAGTGTCAACTTACACTAATTTATCATATTAATATAGGCCTTCTCTAAACTGTTGGTTCAATTTGTCATATCCTATATCACTGCTATTATTTAGTTTCTTCCCTGATCACATCTACATTAAAACAAAGCTTAAAATAGCTTCTTGCTTCTCAGAATTTTATTAGTATCAATATAAATGGAGAGTTTTTTTGTCACTTAATAGGATAAAGGCCAAGTCACGGCTGCAGACAATAAAAGTTGAGAAGAAACGTAATAAAACTTTAGGGGAAATATATAGCCCTCAGCCAGACCTTTGTTGTATGTCGTTTTCTTCCCCTCTCTCTTCCTTTTTTCCCCCTCATCTCTCTACTGTCCACTTTCAAATGAAGGCATTAAAATCCCCAAAATAAATTATTATAAAAGAATGTATTGAGCATGAAAATGGTTGGATTTTAAGTACACTAAAATAATATAAAAAATATCTGTTTTGGCCTTCATCTGGATATTTTCCTAAAAAGAAAAAGAGATTACAATACATTATAAAAGGCTCTGATACCTTGGATATGCAAGCTGGGCAGTACCAGTCTCCTTCTGGGATACTGGTGATCTTGGGTTTGTGACAGTAAGTGTGGCAGCCTTTGTCACAGCCATCACACAGCAAGAGGAGGTCCTCGTTATCCCCCTTCCTGCACATCTGACAGTACTAAAAAAACAAGTGCATCCATCAAAATCAAACTTCCTGAGTAGACTTTTTAATTAATTGTGTGGAAATATGCTGTGGTTCTATTTTATCTGTTGCTCACCACTTTCATGATGGACCTCTCCCAGGCGATGGACTTCTGCAGTTGCTGGATACACATGGCCAACTGGGCAGCACTACGCACTTCAGTCAGGGCCTTCCTCCACACCTTCATACCGTGGGCCACCTCCTCCTCACCACTGGGAGAAAATAATGAGGAATGATGGGAAATGCACACATATATGTGAATATGTGGGCATATTTACACACGCAAAAAGCGGTAAACTTTATCAGTTGAACCAGCCGCCAACAAGACAGCAGACCATAAAGAGATCCAGCTGTGCAGAGACAGGAATGAGGATTTTAGGGGTGTAGGGCACCAGGGAGAAATACACACTGATTTTGTTATGTTAAAGGGACGTTCATGCAGAAAGAGTGAAGGAGTAAAACCTGTGTTAAGTGTATGCTGTATAGTGGGAGCCATGATTATGCCCATAACCAAGGTTACTGATGCACAACACCATGCAGATGACTGCAGAAAACAAACCAGTAAACAATGCCTATATAGGAAATGAAGCTGAGTGGAGTCCCCACCCCACCCGAAAAACTGCACAAGACCAAAGAAACAAACCAAAATGCAACAAGCCACCACACAAATCTGCTGTGAAAGCAGCAAAGACCCTCACTTTGGAGTAATATGGGAAACATAAAGCACACACAGAGAGAGGAAAGGGTCTTAGTGGGAGAGGGGGAGCTTTGGTTGGAGAAATGACCTACCCTTCCCTGTCAGCACTAGTGGATGGGGCGGGGGCAGGGACAGTGACCGTACCCACATTATCCAGCCTGATCTGAATGGTGGTACCTAAGGGGCTCCTCAGGTACCTTCTCTCGATGTTGCGCTCCAGATCAGCCAGACGTGTCACTGCTATGTCCAGCGGGTTGTCCGGGTGACGCGTCACCCCGCCCTTCTCCCCCCGCTCCTCTGGATGCTCCCTGGAGTCCTTGGATTCCTTGTCCCCCGTGTTTGTTGACGCTGGCGTTGATTTGGTGGGGGGCTTGTGCTCGTAATACACCAAGTCCTCTCGCTCAGACTGAGGGTCCGGAAATGTCCAGCCCTGGGAGAGGAAACCGGCAGTTCAGTCTTTTGGTCGCTGATCACCCCACTCCAACATGTTTTTATACCACTAACAACATATCCAGGGAGGTATTTGTGTTCTTGTCTTAGTATTTTACCTTGACCTGCAGGCTGGCTGCGGTGACCTTCCTCTCCAGTTCCTCTACCTGCTGCAGCACGGCAATGTCCATCTCCATCGCCTGCTCCTCAACACACCAGCCCCGCACCGACTCCACGCTCACCTGGCTCTCCTCCAGCTCACGCAGCTCAATCATGGCCACTAGATGGACGACATAACAGTCAGCCACAAATACACAAACACACTCACTGATGCAGGTAAACACATGAGCGATGCAGTCAAACATACACAGATATTCATGTAGTATAATCATAAATAAACAGTGTCTGCAGTGTATTGAGGGATCATCAAGGCCAAGCTGAATGACAACACACCAAATCTGTATCTGTTACTATAGAAATAGCCTACTTTCTACATGCTGTTCTCAAACTATACACAGTGATTATGTGCTCAGAAGAAGTGTTGAGACACTTACCGTCTTTGTGTTTGGTGCAGACCTGGGGGATGATCTCCATGTATTTCTGCATCTGCCTCTGGAGGCCCTTCTCTCTGATGCCTCGGCTGTGGAGAGCATTGACTAAAGCCCTCAGCTCCTCGATGTCAGACACCCGCCACCATCCTGTCAGCATCTCTGAGACAATGAGCACAAATAGACATGTAAGCTAGAAGACACTGAACATACATTACTGTAAAAAGGTGCTTCATTCAGCTGTGTTATACCCAAATGAAATTGCATACGGCAGAGCAGAACGTTCCCTAATCCAATTATATTGGATTATTCAAGCAAGTGAAATCTTTTCAGGCAGGTGAATTCTTTTCAATTAAAAAATGGGGGTTGATTATGGGTTCCATTTTCATTTCTCTCACTGTTTTTTTTCACTCACCCTCTGGAATAGGCCGAGGTATGGGGTGGTCCAGGGATTTGGGCATTTCCAGAGCAGGAGAAGGCATGGATGAGGTTTTCTCAATGCGAGGTAAAGGTGATTCACTCTTACTGGAGACACTTGCTGCTGTGTTGCCCTCCAGAGAGTGACCTGGCATGGGGCTGGGGCTGCTGCACAGAGGGAGACTGGGACTCATCATGCCACTGGGCCAGCTTCCAAAAGAAACTCCTAGCAATGAACCACCTGACTTCACCTGGGGAGAAAATGGGAACAACAAAAGAGTGAGGGAGGTGGAGGTAGGGGTGAGCAAAACAGAGAGTAACAGTTGAGGTGAGGCCAAAAATAACTTCTATCTCTATTTGTGTCCAGCCAGCAGCCTCACCTGCAAGGCTGATAGTGGGTAGTTGAGGAGTCCAGCTGGGTGGTGCGGGCTGGCGGAGGCTGAGGCAGCAGAAGGGGTGAGAGGCAGGGCAGGGGACTGAGGTGGGGATCTGGGCCTGGCCGGGGTGGAGGATGCTTGGGGAGACACATGCTGAGCTCCTGGAGGAGTTGTGGTGATGGAAGCGAGGTCACAGGGGTTGCGAGGGAGCAGACTGAACCAGTGTCCGCTCCTCTCGGTCAGGACTCTGAGTAGCTGGTCATTGGCTTGGAATGCAAGGTGAGGAGATGGAGCAGGGGATGAGGTTGGAGGAGTGTTCCCCGGGCTTTCACGTGGGGCTGGCAGGCACGGGACAGATAAAGAAGTTGAGGTTGGAGGAGGGACAATTGTAGTGTCATTAGTGGTCACCATGGAGGGAGCTGTTGCTACTGCTGGCTCAGAGGTATTGTGTGTGGGGGAGGATGATGTTACTGTGGTTGTGGCAGTAGGAGTGCCCACGGGACTGCCGTTTTGTCTCACATCGGGACTCTCTTTGCCTTCTGCATTCACAGTTTCTTTGTCAAAGTCCTTGTTGACGTCCCGTAATGTGCACAGTTTGGATACTGGTAGCTGGTAGAAGAGGGTTGGCGAGTTTTTCTTCCCCTCATACTCCTTTTCCTCCTCTTTTTCCAACCCTTGTGTTCGAGGGCTCTGCCCATCAAGGTCGGTGGATTTCTCCTTCTGCACTTCCATCTCTTGAGGTTCCTCTTTGACCTTGACCTCCTCTGCTGCTCTCCTCCTCCTCTGTCGCTCCTCCTCCAGTTCCTCTGGAGCTGCGGGGAAATGAGAGAATGTACAGTTAATGTTGCTGAAGACTCAAATACTGTGGTTGATATGACAACTGAGTGATAATTATTCTGTATTGTTATTCTACACTTGCTTATGGAAGATAAGTAATTTGTGTTTAGATTATTATAGTTCACAGATGCAATCTCAAATTAGTTTTAGAGAATTAAGATAAACTAAAACATAATCAGCATATTTCACACTTCCAAAAACAGCTGAACATGCAGCTATCAGGTACATAGACAACAATTCTTCCTTCCTCTTCCTGCAACCTCAAAATCTGTTACTACGATTTGTATTTTCCAGATATTTTTTTGAGTGTGCATAAAACCTTTTATGCAATCAGATGAGTAAATTGAAGCATCTAATATAAGAATCCATCAAACTTAGTGTGTGCTGTGTTGCAGCTACCTTCTCCACTCTCCATGGCTTCAATGAAGACCCCTCCACAGTGGGGAAGTACCCAGTACCGGCGGCGGTAACGGTCCTGGCCATACATCATGGAGCGCAGGGAATGGGATATTTCAAACAGCTTTCTTCTGGTCTGATGATGTTGCTGCAATGGTACAAAACATACTCTGTGATTTCTATACATTTTGGTCTATATACCTTTGGAAAACAAACTCATGCTACCTAATGTCCTTTTGTAATCACCATGATATATTAAGCATTACAAGCTATGTTAATAAAGTAATGTCTTAAGCTAATTAATGCATCATTAGTAGCCCTATGTCAGTGTACATGTTCATAAATATACAAAATGCATGATTGTTTTTAATACACACTGTACATTAAAGCATTTACATGTTGTAGCTATTTTACGAAAAATATGTTTTTCATCACTAATATAGCTTTTCAAAACTCTAATCTACTATCTAGAGTGTGGGAGGTGTTAGTCTTATTATTGTATATACATCATCCTCATGGCAACACACAGTGCAGCCCTGCATAACCAAACAGCAACAATACTCCACGTTTCTGTGGTTTATCTCTTCATAGTTGCTTCCCCAAGAGACTTTTTTTTAATCTCACTGTGTCCCATTTTTAATCACACATTATCAGTGTCAACCAACCATGCATTCATTTTCTGATGCCTTATACATTTATGTTAATGGGTATTAACTTTGTCACAGCACTTGTACATTTTGAATAAGAACATACCTTGGCTAATTTCTCTATCTGCTTCTCCAGCTCCTCGAGACTAGTGGCTTGATCAACTTCATCCTGACAGGACAAAACAAACACAATAAATATCTGTGAGCAACCCTTCAAGGTTAGTTTAGATAATGGCTCTATAGATGGAGCTATCGTTTTTACCTCATCATATGTCTCCACTTTTTTAACCTTCTTAATTTCTTCCTCCTCCTCATCCTCCTCATCCTCTGCCTGGTCATCACTGTCATCATCCTCATCATCCTCATCATCACTGTCTCCACCCAGTTTCCTCTTGCGTTTGGCGGCAGAGGATGGAGTGCAAACAGACTGGTTCTCTTCCGCACCCATACTGGCCTCCCTCCTCCCAGTACGTTTGGCATAAATGGTCTTCAACCTGCATAAACACACACAGGATCAGTGTGATAGTGTACGGAGAATAAAAGCATTATTTTTAGGGCTAAAAAAAAACTTACTTCTTCAGTTTTCCCTCCATAATGATCTTGTCCTTCCTCATGTTTGCCATCTGATCCAGACTCTTGTCAATCTCACTGTAAGAGGAAATACAATCCTGTGAGTTACAGTTGTGCCTATGCACATATATATGTTTTTGATATTCTCAGAAAGTAACAACTATCTACAGGCAAAGTAAAAGGTTTATTAAGCTGGTATCCTGGAGCACAAATTAATACTTGCATAATTTGCTTACAATCAAAAGGACTCTACTGCAAATTACTGCTCCCCTCTGCAGCTTTATTAAGCATTTTCTACTACATCAATAAAACATACCGTTATTGGCTAACGGCACATATATACGATACCATATATATTCTTTCAGTGTGTGGTTGGATTTTGGGTTTTTAATTATGTAAATGCAGAGGTAGAGGAAGTATTGTAGACCACTTTATACCCATCCAACACTATGTCACTGAGTATTTTAAGAAAAGAAGTATTTTACTACTTTAAGACTGGTCAGTTGGACAGCCCCACTTTTCAGTTTCAGCTGCTTCACCTACCTGATAACAGCTTTGCTGCAGGCCAGCTCGTTAGCCAGGAAGCCAAGGATTGAGGCTTTCTGGGCAGGTGTGTGGGCCTGGAAGGCTTTAGTTTTCAGACTGAGGGCCAGAGGGGCCAGTTCTGTATTGGCACAATGGGCTCCCATGTACATCTGTAGCACCTCAGACACATTATCCCTGTTGATGCCAACGTTGGTCAGGTGGTCCCCCAGCATGGTTTTTGTCTGATAGAAAAGGAGATGATGAAGTTAATGAACAATTCATTGACAAATTGATTTGACTTTTAAGTTTGTCATTTGTCATTTTAATATTATTAGCAATGTTAAGGAAAAAGTACCTAAACCTGAAATCTAAATGCTATGTAAAAATACATTAGCATTACCACTAAAAGTAATATTAAAGTATAAAATGTGCATTATGGATGATTAATGAACTTTGAACTAACTCACCTTTTGTCCAGGTGGCAAACCGGGATCACAGACTGCCAGACACAGCAATTTGACCAGAAGGTCTTGGACTTGGCCCATGCTGTCCCCCACATTGAGCAAGCCCTCCTGTAGCATACCCAGGGTGGGCACATCCACATTCAAATCAAGCCCCAAAACTTTCCCAAAGCCTCGCAGGAACTGCATCAGCATCAGGCAGTCCGACACGGCACGTCCTGGTAGGATGAGTCCAGGAATCCGAGAGAAATCAGGGAGAGGCTGGACAAAGGAAAGCGGGTAAAGTTAGAATTGTTAGCTGTTTTGTATGTGTTACTGTAAGAAAAACACATTAAATACAATTTGTACAACAGAAAAGTATGATTTAAACAACTACGGGAAGTGGGAGAAAAACTATCATTATATCTCCCATCTGCTGACTGTTATCAAGATGGTGCTTTCCAGTTCATAGTTATGACAGCTTATTTTGCTAAATTATGCAGTACTCTCCTTTAACCACTTGGGGGCACACACTTCCGCAAATAAAAATGCTCACTACCATGAGGACTTTTGGTCTGTACTGACCATCAATAAAATGACACCTACTTACTTTTTATTATTATTCTTATTATTCTGAGTAATTATGATTGTTATTATAATTATGATTATGATTATAATTATGATTGTTATTATAATTATGATTGTTATTATTATTGCTATAATATGTCACCCTGTTGCCATAAATCGACATATTTAGCAACAGGAAAATTAACAATTTATTGTGCATCACAGTATGGTTGGACTAAAACTTACAGTTTTTTATATTATTAACTTTACATTCACAGCACTGACTGGTTGAGCTAATATCTCAACTACCTTATGATCGGACAGACACATGTCTTCATTTGGCTTCTT